CAGTGGCTCCTGTCTGCCCCTTGGGGTGGGGGGTGGAGGCTGAGGCGGCAGGTCCGCTTGGAGCACCTGGGCCTCAGACACCTGGGCAGCCCTCGGCCCGCCCTCCCCACCTGCTCTCCAGGGCTCAGTCCCTTTTCTGCTCCCTCCTCCTCTCCCGGGGTGCCCAGTAGTCAGGCCCAACTCTCCTCCCTTCTTGTCAGTCTTTAAAAATCAATATTCAAAAAATAAGAATCAATACCCAGATGCCTCCACCTGCAGCCTGGACCCTCCTGAATCCCACCGGCCGCTCCACGCCCCACACGCTGTTCACAGGAGCTCCTCCCCCCACGGTTTGCTGGACGCCCTCCTAGCAGGTCCCTGCTTCTCCGCGACCCGCGGCCCCGCTCAGCATAGGGTGGAGCGGATATGACCTCAAATCTCCTACGAACCCCGCGCCCACCCCACGGAGCCTCACATCCCACCCGTTCACAGAAACGTAGGAGAGGGAGTGGCCTGTCACCACCACACGCGGGGACCCACCAAACCCAGACGGGAAATGCCACCAAGTGTGTGTGGGGGGGATGGTGGTGAGGGGGGGTTAGTCCATGAAGGAGGGAAAGACAACACGGGCGGACGGTGGGGACGGACTGGGTGGGTGCCCGCAGCTCGGGGGCAGTGTCCACTCGACGAACAGCTGATGGAGGCAAAGCCAAGTCCGAATGAGGCTGGGCCCTCACAGGCCGCGCGTCCTCTAGTGAGACTGACTGGGTAGGAATCCGCTGGGGGTGCCGGGCGGCCAGAGCAGCCACTGGGGGAGGACCAGGAAGTGGCAGTGCTCGCCCATTAGGGAACCCCCAGACGGGATGTCTGGGCCCCACGTGGGACGGAGGGCCCTGGAGGACGGGTCTGCTGTAAGGGGGGCTCCAGGCCCAGTGATTGGGCCTCCATGGGCTGGGCCCCCTCCCCTCCCCGTGCCCCCCTCCCCTGCCCCAGAGCCCAGCTCTGCCTCCAGGGCCACAGAGCTCCCAGCTGCCCAGCGTGTGGCCTGTGAGACCTGCTTCCAGCTCCCAGCTCCCAGGTATTGTTGGTGGAGACACCAGCCCGCAGACCTCCAGCTCACCGAGACGCCGAGTTGGGGCAGCGGCAGTGAAGCCTGGAGGGGTGTCCCGTGGCCACCCACACAGGGAGGGGTGCAGAGGCCCAGCGGAAGCACCACTAGTGAGTGAGGCCACGGACAGTGCTGTGGGCAGGAGGCGAAGCCAGGCCCAGTGTGGCCGAGGGAGCTGGGGTCAGTGTCCCCCCTCCCAGCCCCACAGGACGGACGACCCAGGGGCACGTGGAGTCAAGATCTGGTGGATGTTTACCAGACACAGCCAGGTGCTAGCCACTCCCATGTGCTGTTGGGCCTCCCACCCCTGGGGAGAGGGCTTTGGACCCTGACAGCCCACCCCCCACTTCACAGAGGACACACAGGCGGGAGGCGGTGACACGCCAGGGCTCACAGCTGCCGCCGCCGCCACCAGCTGCTGCCCAGGAGCCCTCGCCTCCGGGTTGTGCCGCTGTCCGAAGGGGACCAGCAGTGGCAGGGGCACCGCACTGGGCAGCCCTGGGAGGTGGGCACTACTTTCCACCGGGGGAGACTCAGCACCTCCTCAGGGGTGACCTGCGGCAAAGGCTGCTGGGCTCCCGCCCGCCCCTCCCCAGCGGGACCCTGCTGGCCATCCAGGGCGGCCGGGGGCAGGGCCCGGTTCCCGTCCTGGGTCCAGGTCGTGCGGGCTGCAGGATGTGATGTGTCCGGTGCTCTCAGCCTCTGGCGGCAGCCCCCTGGACCCCGCCCACCCCTGGCACACACCCTTCCGGCCCCAGACAGTGGGCAGCTCAGCGACCCAGCCCAGCCCAGGCATACAACCCTCCCAGGCTGGGAGCAGAGGCCGCGGGTGACAGCTCGGCTCAGCGCCCACGGGCAGCACCCTTGGTGGCTGTTTATTTCC